TTGCGTACGCACAAAATGGGCATGGAAATGTGCGTACGCAATTTTTTAAAAGGTATTTATGATAATGGTATATTTTAGGGTCGGTTTCTCACCTTTTTTAATATTTTGCCTTTACTACTCATTTTCAAGGCACAAAGTTTCTGTATAAAAGCTGAATATAACGAAAGACCTATATAAAATTGGAGTAGCCTAGCTATTGCATTACATGGCGTATAGTATGATCATCACAGGACATGTAATCTTCCCTTGTATTTCATGTCAGCTGCGCGTCTTTAATAAACACGTAAAAGCCCATAACACAGAACAATATTAAACAATGTTTAACGTGAGACCTTTAGGTGGTGCTGTTGATACGCATTAAAATGCCAGCCAGGTAGAGAAGTGGCCATGTTTCTGTCCTGTAAGTTCAACGACTTCAATTAATGTTGATGTTTACAAAGCTTTTTTTCTGTCCAGTTATAAATCCACTCACATGGTTTTTGCATAGTGATTTTATGTTATCCGAGAAGTCGTTTATTATATATATATATATATTTTTATTATTTTTTTGTTTTAACTGGCCAACTTTAAGATTGTCATTCAATGTCATTCTAAATACAAAAACAATAAATAGTTTACTTTAAATTTAAAATGTATTAAGTTTAAAAACAAAGAGTAATAAATGCAAAACAGGCTCAGAACAGAGCATATAATGAATACATTGCAAAGGCCTAGTACATTTTGGAATGAACATCTATAGTTTGGGTAAAATTGGAACTTGGAAACCTATAGGATTTCAGTCTGAAGATAAAAGCTTACACTAATAAATATTAAAGCTCAGTAGCTTACAGTGACTTATTTTCTGGTATCTCCAACACAGGCCAAAACAGATGTTTACTTAGGTGGTTGGTAATGTATAAACAACGGCAGCCTGCACTGTAAGATCTCCGAAATTATAAATGTACAAGGGTTTAATGAAATACTAATTTACTGCGAGTAAATTAGGAAGACAACATCGTCTAACATGCCTGCTTTTTTTGTAACATTTTCTCTTTCTTTTTCTTTTTTTTCCCATTAATCATGGGATACATTTGCACCAAACATTCACAAAATGTCAATCTACTTTAAATAGCAGGTAGTATCATTTTAAAATGAATTTCATCATTTGACCTGATGCTTTTGGGTGTAAACATTTAAAACTGCTTTTGATGTACCTCCTCCACCCGTCTATTTTCCTTCCATTGCCTGACTGAGAATGCATTAGCCAGGTTCTTCCAAAGGCCAAATGTTGCTTTTAACACAGCATCATGGGAATTAAGAGCAGGATGTTTTATTTACATCAGAGAGCAGCAGAAGTGGAAAATAATATGAAACCTTGGTAGCCTACACTGTGTATACCCATTCCCTGCAACTGATGAAAATGGAAAATACAGTGCAGGTATATACAAATGTACTTCCCATCCTTTCCACTGAAGTGTATTGCTTTGTATATCACTTATATTCAGTATAATGCAAGCTGTGCATTAGAACCTGTGGAAAGCAATGGCACAGGCAACATTGAATAGCAATCAAAGGCTGAAACGAGGGTGCATTTGTAAATAAAACTGCACAGCTAATTAATGCTTTTGGTTCATGTGAAACTGTGAGCTTGAAATAGCTAATAACAGATGGTAAAGGGGCCGGAATCAACCGCGTGTGTGCCAAACATACAGCACGCATAGCTTGGCAGTTGTAACTCCACAGGCTGTCTGCAACCCCCTTTAGTCAGTATCACTAGACTAAATGGTTTTCCTCTAAACGGAGCCAAAAAGGTACTATTCTTTTTCATGATTTTGGGTGTTATGAAATAGCTTTAGCCAATGTTCAGGTACAACACTCTGCTGTCTCTGCAGGTCTGCTGATACTTTACAATCACTATGTTAGAATTTAAGCAATAATAAGTTGCACTTTTACTTTCTTGCTTATGTAGTAGTAGCTTCTGTAATTGTAGTCATATTGAAGATTTAAAAAAAAGCTTAGGTTTATGTGGCAACAAATCCTGTCGCTTATGTGTTTTAAGCTGCTAAGAAATAAGTTATTATGAGATAATGAAAGACATAATGGAATACTATGCAATCTTTTCGCTCGCTCTACACAGGTAGACACTGGAGAAGTGTTTGTGTGACACGTAGCTTGATGGCAAGATGCCCTTTTTCGGCGTGCTAGTAGAGTTCCCATGGATACAAGGAGTCATCTGTCAAGTTTCAGAGCTGAAAAGTTTCATTGAAATATGTTTGTAGAGGTAGGAGTTTATTCCGTCAAGTTATGTTTGAGCGATAACGTCCTATGCTTTACGTTCACTACGTATCAGTTTGCTGTGATAGCGGTCGCTGAGCTCCTGTCAAAACGTGTACCTTTTGGCTGTTTGCGTTTAAAGGACCGTAATCGTGTAAACATGTCGTTTCATCAGTAAACCCCGAGCTGCTGTTCAGTCCCATCTAACAAAATTACCATGGTAACCTGGGTTACCATAGTTACTACAGTTATTGTTATAATCACAATTGATTATTATGTCCTTCAAACAGTGTAAGCATATTTCTGTTTATTTATTTGATAATACTAGAATGCAGAATTGCCGTTTGAACACTGCAATTATGTCTATAATTTAGTGCGTTGTAGTATTCTTGAGGTAACATGTATAGTATTTAATATGGCTTATACATATATATCACCAACAGTCACTGAAAACCTCAAGTTCCTTTATATCTTTATTTTAGTTTCATTCATTTTTCCACATCTCAGCAATTGGAGATGCACGGTGCTTTCATAAAGCAGTAGCTATTTATGATTTCTCTTTGTCAGTTAATAAGGTGAAGATGCATCTCTTCACCCAGCTAAGATTTTTCTAGCATTTTATGGCTTGTTCAGGCAGTTAACACACACTGTATAGCATTGAATGTGAGTGCAGCAGATGTAAGGAGGTAATTAGCTTTGGTGCTCAGTGTTGCATTGAGACTATAATGTAATATCTGATCTCAAAGCTTGATTTGAATGCCCTGTTCTGTGCCTTGATTCAAAACATTTTGCCAGAGTGTTTTTTTTCCCAGTTATTGATAACAAGATCAGAGGAAGATATTTGTCTTTCATTTAGTCCCAGAGTTAACCATACCCTCTTTTTTATTTTATAGCTTTAATAATTTGGATTTTTCTGCTTATTTATTCATTGCCTGAGCTCCCATAACAAGAAACATTTTATTGCTTGAAACATACTGTAGCTAAATCAATATAACTGAACTCTACAACCCTTAACTAAGTATAGAATCCTTCAGACTGCTTCTAACATAATTTGAGCAATGCAGTTTGACCCCAGTTGAGGATATCAGTTCAGGTACAGTGCATTGTGCCATCCTTACACAGGCTCAGGGAGAAAATCGTTCTCATGAAATTCAAGTGTGAGAGCTTTCTGCATGGGTAGTGTGTGGTCAGCAATTTCCCCTCATCACTCAGCGGCTCCATCAAGATTGCTGGACTTATGACACTTTTATCTTCCAATGCAGACTGACCTTGTTGTTGTTTGTGCCCTCAGTGTTTAGAGGTTTCTCTGGACAACCAGACCTTGGCAAACAGGAGTTGCTGCTTTGAACTACAGAAGGTGTGATGAAGAACAGGCCTGGAGATAAGCAAACAGCGGTTACTAGGAGAAGGTGAATGTCTTGTGTCAGAAAGAGTGCCATCAGCAGACTGCGACATCGAAAAATTGGTTGGTCTACGGCTTCCGCATATTGTCTGATGCGATCAGCGGTGGCGAATCTGTGCAGCCTTGTTCACCATATGATTTTGATTTATCCTTTTTGTCATCTTGATGAAATTTGCACCCAATAAAACATCAATAATCACAGACAGTGTTCATTATTTTTGTAGATCCTGTTGTCTTCTACTAGAACGACTTCTACCAGAACAACATCATCTAGAGCGTGAAACGTTAAAATCAACCAGGACTAAGTTTGTGCTTCTCTTTTAATTCTACCAAACTCTCTTATCTCGGCTGCCAAGACAACTTGAGCAAGGAATCTCTTTTAAGAGCCACTCAGAGCTAACAAGACAGACGCAGGGAGGGAGTAAAAAGAAGAAGAGAAGAGGGAGGGTGGGTGGAGAGCCAGAGAGAATTGGTGCTTAAGTGTGAGTGAGAGAGAGCACTCAGAACCCAGCGAGAGTCTCCTCTAACCATTGGCACTTCGATACATTTCAAAGCCTCGCACCTCGCACTGAAGAATCTGACAGGGTTAGCATCTGAGACCTGCACTCGAACAGACGGTCGAATTAATGGGCTTTTATTTGAGGAGCAACAGTTCAGAAGGACTCGTCTGAGGCGACTGTAATTGAGAATGATTTTTTGAGAGACCTGCTGGGTAAGAGAGATCCAAATAATGACTTAAGATCTTACAACAGTCCAGAAAGCCAAAAAGGAGGGAAATTCACAATGGATGGATTTCCTTGGATTTGTTGGCAGTGCTGATCTGTTTCTCACTTTGTTTGGCTCTAAGAGATTCTGCCTTAAGGAGAAACAAGCTTGTAAGGAGTTCTGATAAGGGTCAGTTCCACGCTGGACCACACAAACTATCTACAGGAGATCCGGAGAGCATGGGGAAATCAAACAGCAAGCTCAAACCAGAGGTGGTGGAGGAACTAACCAGGAAGACCTACTGTAAGTGCTTTCTGACTACACTTTTAAGAATAAAGGTTCCATTGAAAAAAAAACACTTTGGGTTCCCCAAAGAACCCTTCATTGAACACTTCCTAAAATAACCATTTTTGTGCAAAAGAAAAGTTCAGTGGACAAGCTTGTAAGGAGTTCTGATAAGGGTCAGTTCCACGCTGGACCACACAAACTATCTACAGGAGATCCGGAGAGCATGGGGAAATCAAACAGCAAGCTCAAACCAGAGGTGGTGGAGGAACTACCCAGGAAGACCTACTGTAAGTGCTTTCTGACTACACTTTTAAGAATAAAGGTTCCATTGAAAAAAAAAACACTTTGGGTTCCCCAAAGAACCCTTCATTGAACACTTCCTAAAATAACAATTTTTGTGCAAAAGAAAAGTTCAGTGGATGTTACGGGTTCTACATGGAACCATAGCAGAGCATTTCATTTTAAGGATGCATGTGATAAATGCAGTTTCGTACCATTATTATGTTTTTCTTTAGTGTTCTTTTTTTTTCTTTGTTGCTATAATCTCATTGATGTTTTTTTAGTCTTGAGTCTTTGAGTAAAAAGGCCACGGTGGCTATTAAAACCTAATTTTTTATTTATCTGTTATCCTCTTGGGTGCAGCACATGCACAATTAAGAGACTAGAAATATGAGCTAATTTGTTTGAAAACAACATGGTTAAACTGCATTCAAGATCCAGCAGGTCATACCACATATATTTTGTCACAAGAAATCACAATTCTCGTGGCATCGCAATCTGTGATTAGCAGAAGCCTGGAAGTGGGCCTAATCAGCATGTTTTAAAAGCCCTCCAATTAGGACTTGATCTTTATGAATATGCAAATTGGTCGGTCTGCAAATTGGTCTGCAATCAGGCTGGTGGTTGCCCAGAGAGATATCTGAAAGTGGCTTGCTCTCTGCCAGTGAAGCAGATTGGGTTTCCATGGATGCATAGACTATATATGTAAACACATTGAGCTAGGTCTTGATTCTAAAACTAGTGCAGTGAAATTACAACAGTTTTGCAAATGCTAAGGACACAGTTCACTGTAGGACTTGTTTGTATTTGTTTTACTGAGATTCTTCATTAGTTCTTTATGTAGCCAATCAGCATATCATCAAACAGGTGTTGCTCTTTGCAAATGCAAATCTATGGAAGTCCGGCATGTTTAGATTATTTATTTATTTATTTATGTATTTATTTCAGAAATATGGTAAATCGTTGTGGCTGGTTGAGTGCATGAAGTGTTCCACACTTCTTTTTTTTTTTGGTTAATTAAGTGCATCATCCAGGTATTTGAAGTGCACATTTTTACATTTCCAGAGTAAACATACACAATGGCATAGAATAATGCAAAAGTACATGAATTGGGATGCACCAGTGTAACCTGCAACAGAGTTTTTACAAAGATTTACAGCAAAACGAATGTGTGGAACTGAACATTATAAAACTCTATATTAGGTTACACCTACACCATCTGTACCGACTAAGAACAAATAGCAAATACCTAACCTTACCATCCGTTTATTAAAGGTGATTTAGGAAGCTTAATATAAAGTAGATCTTTTTTTTCATCAAACTTATCAAAAGAAGCCAAGACACTGTGAGTAAATAGTGTCTGTTATAATCAGCAGTGAACTCGGTAAAGTAGGCAGTGTTTGAAGTCATGCAGACAATTTGAGTTGAATTACTGAAATAAATGAACTTTTCCACGACATTCTAATTTATTGAGATGCACCTGTATAGAATGGGAAGTGACAGCCAATGGCTTCCTAATGATGGTGTCTGCTGTGTGTTGGGCTCAGTGGTGGGTGCTGGAAAGGCGCTGGGCAGGAAATTGCAGCATGCAGGGAAATGTGCCTCCGTGCTGGGATGGACTCCATGACCCTCACATTCCTCCTTTCTTTCTTCTCTTTCTTTCTTTCTTTCTTTCTTTATTCTCTTTCTTTCTTTCTTCTCTTTCTTCTCATTCTCTGTATGAGTCTCTCTCTCCCAATTAATTGCCTCTCTGTGAGCATGGAATGGAATACTGTGATTCAGGCCTTATCAGCTCTGCTTAGCAATGAAGGACATTGCATTTCTCTTTCTTTCCATGTATCCCTCTTACCTACCACTCTCTCTCCTCAGCAGTCCCTTATCTTTACCCTCCATTGTTGTTGTTTTTTTCCTCATCCCTATTTGTAACCTTTATCAGTTTCTCCTCATTTTGTTCCTGCATGTCTTTCAACTGCTCGAGCCCATAGCTAGAAATTATGTTTTTAATTGGGAAGAAGTCATCAATTGTGTATTTTTAGGTTTGCCTTAGCGCTATTGTCTGGGACTACTGAAAGAAGGGGAAGTAAAGGCTTTAAATACATTTGCTTTTGCAATGTAGATGAAAGAGCAATGTTTTATAGAGACAAGCAGTTTATAAATTACTTGCACTTAAAGGGGTCATATGATGCTGCTAACAAGAACTTTATTTTGTGTATTTGGTGTAATTCCATAAAATGCGCTGGACACATCTGAATATTTGGGTTAAACTGTTCTGGAACAGTGTTGTAAATACAACTTAACCACTGATTTCTAGTCGTGTCCTCTTTTGGAAGGCCAAACAATGTAGTTTCGCTTTCACTACGAAACAGCATCACACACGCACACACGCTCTCACTCAAGGCGTCACACACGCCTTGAGTGAGCGGAGGCCGGAGGCCTAGAGTGAGCCGCGGCCTAGAGGGAGCGGAGGG